AGTCATACAATACCAGGACGACAGGGTAGCATGCCTTATTGAAAATTGGTCAACCCAGAAAGTTCCCGCAGTGACAACCTATCTGAAAACTGGGTGTATAATTACTCCCACTCACTTCAGCTTCGTGCCTTGTGTCCAGGATTTATGTATGTATTTTTGAGAGTTACGGGTAAATCCTCGGTGACCCTATTCATGTGGAATTGAGATTCTAAATGAAATTGCATGTGAACGGCACGAAGAACAGTCATTTGTCAGGCTGAAAGAAATATTTTGACCAATTGCGCAGTAACATGTTATAACAGCCTGATTGATACCTGTCAAGGTTCATGGATTGAAGCCGAGATAAATTACCAAGAATGTAGAAAATTACATAGCGGCCAATATATACAGGCTGATTTGAATTCGTCTAAGGCTGGGATACACGACCTCTCCCTCACCAATGACTGAGTGTCAAAATAAAATTAGCGGAAAGGCAGCAGACCGTGGAGAACTATGTCCGCAGCTTCTCAAACTGTGGACTTGATACTACCAAATGTATCCGTTGATACGGCCTCCCGGCCTATTTATGAATTGGTATTAGAGTACACTGGGCTCTTCTGAATATTGTTTTATGCAAACGCTCATTTTGTTGGGAGATTTCAGACTCCCCGCTGAGACTCATTACATTAATAGTTAATTGATAAACGTACAAGCCATAAGTTTAAGTTTTTCAGACCTGTTCGCTAAAATTTCCGCCAGAGTGCTGCTGGAAAACTTGGCGGTGGTTGCCTTCTTTACATCAGAGCCTAACTCAGAACAGTTTTTGCTTCTCTAGAGGTCTATGTTTCGCTTCGTGTATCCTTCCGTAAAATGGGAAAGCCTTAGTTGGATGTGTAAGCCCTTTTTTAGATCATGACTGAGGTACGTAGTCCGGTATGTGAAATGGAACTGTTAAACATTACTATATCCGCTAACGCTCTCGGTGGTGTCTCTTTCGCCTTACAGACTGTTGACTACTATCTCATTCTCACATATGAGCTATGCCAAATCAATGAGAAGAAAGATGTTCTTGCCTCTAGGGATTTTGACGCTCCTGATGTTAAACGGCAAACGTGCACCTCATAGGGTCAGAGGGATAACTGAGATCACAACCTATTATAATGGAGAACGAACAAAATTCCCTGTCGGAAATTAGCCTTTAGAGCACGGGTCTGAGACGGATAAAAGTCAAACTACCTAGACCTTATTTTTACTCGAGTGGAGGAAAATGTGCCTGGTCTGCAGGATCGACCGCTACTAGCCTCAAACGATCACACTACGATGCTCGTCGAGTGTTTAATGCTTTCTAAACCAGCCTTGTCTGATAGGTAAGAGAAACATCTGGAAGGGGGACTACCCACTTATAAGGTGAGAAGTGTTAGGACTGTCGTGGGAAACTGAACTGAACGTTAGAACAAATGGTCATTGAATGGCCTCCAGTTCTCTACTGAGGAGGATTGTCCACCTCAACTGTCCTCTCAAAAGAAATATAACCACTGACTGTCAGATTAAATAAATGCGAACTCAAGGGACTCTTTTAAACAAGTAATCGTTTTTGGAGACACCACTGACTAACCGACTCTAAAGACCGCTTACGGGAATATCAGCGGCAACGCAACATCTATAAGATGGAGGCTACTAGGATTCGAAGGAAGTTCGAAATGAACACATTGTCAACATAGCTAAAACAATTTCAATTCCTATATGGCTACATACGGGATACGGAGATGTCATATTTTTTGACTTCAAGATGGCCTTCAATGGCGACCCACACAGGCTTTTTTAACGGAAGATTTAGGGTCTAGGAATGGTAGGAAGAGGGTTTAAATGAATCAGAAGCTTCCTGTCCTTCAGAGTGCAGAGCGTCGTTGTTGGTAATTTTACCTTGCAATGGACAAAAGTGGAAAGGGGAGTCCCACGGGTCCCTGAGATAAACAGCTCCTCTGCGCATGCTACGCATTAAGAAGGAATCATTTCTGACTGATCTCCCATCCTGAGTTGTCCCGTCAGTTGGCAGCATTCCTAGCCACGGCATATTCCCATCGTAATAGTGTCATGATGAGAACGGAGTTTCCAGAGTCGGCCTTACTCTCTCGCTTCCCTTCCCCACTCGCCAGTGTACTGTCGGAGCCGGGCAGTCAACTGACGCGGAGGTTAGCCGCAGTGACTGACGTAAATAGGCAGCCTGTCTTCGCGCGTCACACACGACCTGGCTCTCCACGTAACACCTCAGTTTCTCACACGAAATGGGGGAGCCACTCTGATTTCACATGAGTAAGAGTGCCCTAAGGACCACACAAAAAGAGAGTCATCGAGCCGGACTCTAAGTTCATCAGTCGGCCACTCCACACAAGCACACACTGGGCTGACTGCGAGGTCTCAACTGAACCGTCTGTTCGTAGCCTTCAAGCCACGGCTTTTAGCACACTGTGATAAATTCAAACCCGTCAGGTTTAATATAATGAGGAATGCACTGAGGTGCCGTGAGGACGGACTCTACAAAGTCGGTCCCACCCTCTCTTTTCTCTCCCATTCAGTTGTCGATTTGATGCTGAGGTCGGACTAAGTGACAGACGGAACCAACAAGCCCGCCAAGCCCCCTATCCCAACGCTACACACCACGTTTTCACACTGAAGGAGTGAGCTGCTGGGATTTCATGTGGGTTAAGGTGCCATAGAGACCTCATGGAGAAGGAGCCAAGCCACACTCTTCCTAGCTATAAATAGCACTTAATAACTCACGCCTCCATCACGCCAGCGGACAGAAAGGTGCGTTGACCGCTCGTCAGAGATTCCGACCACCAACAGGCTTCTGTAATGCATATGCCTTTCCTGCTGGTGTCCTTCCCCTTCTTCCCCCCAAACAGGGCTGGGCCTCGATTATTGTGTTGGTCAAGGTGCATTCATTACTAGGGTCACTAAGTTGCAACTACTTCCGACCAAACTCTTACACGGGGTCGAAGTTATGAATTATTTTATCCCCGTTAATTGTTTAAGGTAATTTTGTGACCGCCTTCGAATGAGAATGAACTAAGCGCCTACTGCGGCAGTTTCACACTTTTCGCGCGTGGAATGACTATTTGTCGTGCACTTTGGGAGTCGCGGTCCGTTTTATGGCCTTGCTCTACAGTCATTGGGTGGTCTAATGAATAAGGCCTTGTCTCGCTCAATGGAGTCTCGGCATCTTATCCCATTTCTCTGTCAATTGTCCTTGGACGGTGTAGATAAGTTGCTGTCAAAATGAAATTATTATTTGAGTTGCACGATATTGCCATACTTGAGAGTACGGGTACCAGCCAAGAATGAAAAGCCACGTTTCGCCGATATTCTCCGGTTGTATGTCGCAGCTACAAGGATTTCGGCTCATTGGTGCGTCCCCACAACGTTCCGTATGTGCCCTCTGGTACCTACTCCTGTTTTGAAATTGTAGCTTTTTAATTTCCTCAGAAACTTACCGCTAACATGATGTGAATCAACCCATTTGAGACGTATAGGCTCAGGGTGGAATTTGATATGAATATTTGGGCCAAAGTCTATCAGTCACAGCGGGATAACCGCGTAATAGTCATAAACTGTTAACAGGCTAAAACGCACTCTGTACTCGCTGCGGCAGCACAAAATTGCAGTGGAAGTGCATTCACCGATTATGTTGTGGGATATGCTCGTACCTGGCAGAACACCGGATCCGTGGCTAAATGTTGAAGCATTGAACTTAGTAACGCTCGAAGGCCGACGAATTCGAATTCGAATCCCGGGTTAAGCAAACTTGGCTTCGAGTATCAATGACTTACGACGACTAATAAGCCAAAAATGGTCTTCTCCGTCTCCCCTGCCTCTTCCCAAACTTCTTCTTTGCAAATATAGTCTGGTAGTGAGGCCTGTAGACACATGGACTAAAAGGATTCAGGGAGCGTAATAAAGGATACGAGGAATCATATAGGCATCAATCAATCAAAAGATTGACGACTGGAGAATTGAGAACGACCGTTGACGGCGAATAAGATCCAGTTCTAGGTGAATCGTGTCGAAAAATCCTTCCTCATGAAAGAGCCAGGGACAGTTATAATATCGAGTGGTATACAACAGGGACAGAAATTTGCCGAGAAGAATATTGAAAGACATGGTATTAAGAGAAGGTCGCAGTCCGGAAAAGCGTGATTTTTCGTGTCAGTTTGGTAGACAGTTGCTAGTAGACGATTAAGGTGAGGCATGATACAGAACCTCCTTGCAAAGCCTCATCATCTCTGCTTGTTGGCCGAGAACAACGTCACCAGCACA